GTCATATAGCACTATGACAAAGTATAGTTTCGAAAGGAGCAGGAATCAGTTAATGATTAGGATAAAATGTGTAAGAAGGTAGAGGTTGAACACCACTATGGTAGTGAAAAGGGGGTAGAGAGGGGGAGCTGATGGGGAAAGGGTGTTAAAAGGAGGAAGGAGTTAAGGGGAACGGCGATTAGATCAAATGGAGGATAGTTATGCGTCTGAGGAAGGAGAACAAGTTGTCAGAGGAAAGGGTAGTGGATTCCGAGCGGTTGGGGAGAGAGAGAGAGAGAGAGAGAGAGAGAGAGAGAGAGAGAGAGAGAGAGAGAGAGAGAGAGAGAGAGAGAGAGAGAGAGAGAGAGAGAGAGAGAGAGAGAAAGAGTTTACGCTTTATGTACTCATGTGGTGAGAGAAAGAAAGAGCGTGTGAGAAGAAGGAAGGGAGGGAGGGAAAGAGAGTGAGAGAAAGAGATGGGAGATAGAGAGCAAGAGAAAGGCGTGAAAAGAGTTTGGGGAGTATGATGAGAGGATGTAACAGGAAGTGGGAGAGAGACGGTAACGCATAGTATTAAACACGTTCTTCACGCGTCGAAATACTGCGCCAATATATCAGTTGGAATAGTAATATGACAATATGAGCATTTTAAAACTGATTACTTTGTACAATATAGGACTATTATGCTTTATGCTATGGACACATTGTAGGCAAGTGATTATATGTTACAAGACCGAATATTTTTTTCCGAAAATGTTACATCTACCTCTTTTACACAGTTACTGTGTACTTAATTATTTTTATCAGATTTTTGTGCTGATTTTTACAGTGCTAAACTAAAGTTTCATTTGATATAATTATGTGCTGGCTGGTAGCTTCAGCATAGTAATAGTGGTTCTTGATAACCTCAACACGGTTTTACCAGGTATGGAGAACAACTGCAAGGGAGTAGCTGCACGGGTGGTTGATCTTCCATCCTTCCTTCGATGATACGTGCATATTATCTATATAATTTGATAAAGGATTTCATATTTTCGGAAACAATGACGAATATATTCTTAGCTGGTAAAAACGATAGAGTCCCTTTTACACTCCATTTTCGTAACTCAAATTATTTTACCAGCTTTTGACCCATGCACACGAAAATATCGGGCTGTCGGAAAAGAACCGAAATGCATTGTCTGAGTTTTTTGAAAGATAGTGAGTTTACTCTCCCCTTCTTAAATGACTGCCACAAAGTAAAAGCAAAGGAAGGCATGTGAATATTGTTTTGGAGTTTGTCAATAGTTAATGGTTACAAAGCAAAATAAAATACATCGAAGGTCATACAGCACCATAGAAAGGTGTAGTAGAGAAAAAGGGAAAAAATAAGAGTAAGTTGATGATTCATTGTGCTATACGTGTAAAGTCGTATAACAGTTCAGGATAGTATGTATGTCTTTGAAAGGGGCAAAGAGAGGTTGAGTAAATAGATTCAGGTAGGGGTCAACAAATGATCAAAGATATCAAAGGAAAAAGTGTGGGATTCTTCATGGATGTCCGTAGGGTAAAGTAGGGATAAGCAAAAGAAGAAAAGGGTTTAAGGGCGATTATATCAAAGAACAGTTTCAGGGGAAATTGTCATTAAAGCATTGCTTTAACAACGGGAAGTCACATGGGTATCCAGGAGGGAGCGGAAGGGATAACAGGGAAGAAAGGGATGATACAGATGGGATGTGTTGGGAAAGAGTGGGAGGAAGGGGCGTAGGGGTGTCCGCTGTCAATTTAAGTTTAAGGGGTATGGGAGCAGAGAGACTGGAGGATGAATGAGATGTAGGGATGTTATCTTTGGTCATGATTAGATGGTTTTGAATGTTCTCTGAAGTGGGGTTTGTTAGGGAGATCTGAGAAACGAAGGTTTTCTTATGAGGGGGAGAAGAGGGGACAGACGTTTGAGAGGCAAAGAAAGAGCTAATGAAGGAGAGGATGCGGTAGATGGGATAGAACGTTTAGCTTGTCTGAAGCGATGAGGCGAACGAGGAGGAGGAGGGGTAGGTACCGGGAAATTAGAGATTGGAGTGTCTAGATTTAGAATGGAAAAAAAGAATTTTACTGGGAGAAGGATGGGTAGAAGTGGGGACGTAAGAAGTAGTATGAAGATATAGTGGGGAACATGTATAAATATATAAGGGAAAAGGGGGGGGGGGCAGAGCGAAGGACAGCACTGGAATAGGAAGCAAGTGAAAAACCTCGTCAACGTGCTTCTTGCCATCCTCACGTAAAGTGAACATAAGTTTGAATCTGAGGACTTCTACCTCAGACTCGAGCTTGCAGTAGGGCAGGCTCTATAAAACACATCATGGAAGACACCGCAATTAGTTCGTGTACGTGACTGCGCACGGCAGTTTGAACGACCATAACTATGTTAGGCACAGAGAAGGCAGCAGGCTATGGAGCCAGTGCTTGGCAGTGGCCAACATTTCTCACATGAACGGGGTAGGGCTCGATATAGTCGGACAGGGCAGGACTCTCCACTGGGGAGGGCATGTCTACGGGAGGTAATCTTGGTAATGTTGGCCTCTGGGGTACTGTACTGATATTGCATCATATTGTGAGGCAGACAAGTTGGCCGTTTTCACAGTCAGGCCAATCCTTGGCATAAGACTGGGTAATCAGTCGGCGAGATGGAAACAATCCTAGTGCAAGTATCAAGGCAGAAGTGAGGCTGGGTAGGAATAGGTTTACCAGTGCGGTCAATTATGGTAGATAATGCATGAGCTTGGTACTAAGATGTAACTGTGACGAGACGTGAATGATCGTTCGGAGACTGAGTAAGAGTAAGAGACTGTTGGGAGAATCACACAAAAATCTATCCCACATTTCTGGTCTGAAAAGATTACTTAAAAATTTTGTAGAGGTGGAAGTAGTTGATGGACGAGGACTAGAGGAAAAGGGAGTAGTGTTGAGTGAGGTAGTACTACAAAACTAGACGGGCAAGTGGTCAGTAAGGCTGCAGAGTAGTAATAAGGGAGAATAGTGTTGAAAAATTGAAGATGAGGAAATAGAGTGGAAGATGTTAGGAGAGAGGTTGGGAATCACCTTGGTAGGTGACTTGGAATTGACTGAACTGACAGCAGGTATCGGGGAGGGAGAAGTAGTAGCAGCATTCAGAATCATGATCAAAGGAGCCGGGGGTCAGATACCTGGAAACATCTGTGGGGTTAGTTGATAAGGGGTGAACATCAATGCTCCTAATAAAGGTAGAAATTCATTATTGGCCATGATAAGCCAGGAGAGGAAAGGGGCAGAAGAAAAGACTGGTTGAGAAAAGGACTGAGGCCCAATTAAGAGGAGGTCCCCAGCATTGGGCTCATTTTTTGTCTTCTCAGCCCCACCCCCATTCCAACAACGGCATGGGAATGGGGGTGAAACAAGTCAAGGCATTTAATTTATGTTGATTGCATCTAACAATATGCAGCATCAAGTGGGCATCTGAAATGGTTGGGTGATATTTGGATATTTCTATTTGAATTCATGCACATTTTTGTTGAGTATTAATTCTAAGCTGTGCATTATATGAAAGCAAGAAAAAAAACCAGAATGAATGGAATTGAATTAGTCAGTGCATGTCAGGACACGAGGTTCCATCATGTGGGAGACAACAGATTGGACAAAGGCCAGATCATTCTGGTTTATGCAGCAGTCTGCGAATTGTTGTTGTTCTGGGAGATATACTTGAGAGGCAGCAGTAGTATATAGCATTAAGAAAAGAGAGTTCATGACACCCATTAATTACTATTTGAACTAGAGTAATTGATTATTTATAAATATATAACAAAAGAAGAAAAGAACAGTGTTTCAGTATACCCCTGATAGACCTAATAATCACTAGGTTGAACAACCAAGTAACAAAATTCTATTGTATTACAAGAAGTGCAGTATTATTATTATATTTATTGAAATTTTTCTGCTGCATCAACATCTAAGGTCATTAGCAGCATATACAAAATACAGCAATAGGGTAGGGCTTGATATAGCATTATGATAAAGTATTGTGGCAAAAAGGGTAAAAATGAGTTAACAATAAGTGGACAGAAGGGGATGAAGAAAAAGAAAAGGAAAGGAGAAAAAAATACCATGCAAAATTAGTTGAGGCGAGGGCTGAGGACCAAGGCAGGGCTGATCCCCTACTTGGGCCTCAGTCTCTGTCTCCTAAGTCCCCCCACGACAACAAGAAGCAAGGGATCGGGGAGGAAGTACCAAAGAAGGCAATGTTTCTGGATTTCCAAATTGGTTAATAGTCAAAACAAATCAAAGGTAAAATAGCATTATGATGAAGTATTGTGGCAAAAAGGGTAAAAATGAGTTCACGATTAGGTTAAGAAGACAGAAAGGGATGAAGAAGAGAAAGGAAAGAAAAAGAGGAAAAGAAAAGACCATGCAAAATTAGTAGAGTCAAGGGCCGAGGCCCAAGGCAGGGGTGATCCCCCACATTGGGCCTCAGCCTCCATCTCCTAAGCTCCCCCATGACAAGAAGAAGCAAGGGATTGTTATAGTTGATAGCTCAGCATACTTGTTCATATAATTTACTGGCAAGATTTGAATGTATGCTTGTAATTTATGAATATTCTTCCAATGTGTTATTTTGTACATTATCTCATTAGCAATGTCTGTAGGTATTTTAATTGCTTTCTAATGATAAATGTTTTCAGACATTCTTAAGGCCTTTCTGTGTTATTTGAATTTATATTTTTTTTCTTCTGAACAAAAATTTTGAATCTTGTTTTCCTACATTCTTATTATATGTTTTATGTATTTTGATCAGCTCATTTTTTAGTAAAGACTGACTTAACCACAATCCAAAGGTCATGAACATATTCTATGTACATGCATATATTCAGTATTTTTTTATTAATTAGGCAATGATTTTAATTTGATAATTTTATCTTATTTCTGATTGTCAATAGTATTTTAGATATTTAAAGTGAAAAGGTAAACCGATAACCTACCTATAAAAGAATGTTGTAAAAAGAAAGAAAAACTCCTTTGATCTATTGTTTTAATATAAGACTATTTACAAATAGTGATGACGCACAAGTCTGTACAATACAAAAGTTGGAAGAGTAAAATCCATTAGTTTAAGAAATATATGACTGCAAAGATGTTGTCATGTGACCATTTTAGGAAGCGCATCATTTTAAAGTAAAAGCAATTTGAATCTAAAATTATATGAATACTTTTGATAAGACTGAAAAAATAAATACAGGGAAATTTAACATAATGATGTGCATTTGGTAAACAACTATAGGGAACTAATTCTTTGTGAATAAAGACAGAAAACACAGTGTCTGTAATCATATTACAATACTCTAACATCACAAGGTATATACTGGAAGATTTCTTTGACACAACTGTTGCATGTATGTACCATAAAACTTGCTACACTGTATACCTGAATGTGTAAACTCTATGGCTCACATTAACTGTTGTCCATTTTATTACTTAAGCATTGCCTCTGCATGACACTGTAAGTCATCCTGTTTTTTGGGTACTGAGGCCTCCAGTCAATCACCAGATTCTTATGAAGATAATGTTTCCAGGAACTGATGATTCTCAACATTATGTAGCTGATTATAGCAACATATAAAAAATATATATCATGTTGAAAATTACTACAACACAATCATTCCTCATACCTACATAAATGCAAAAAAGGTTTTAAAATACTGACAAATTTAAAATTACGATAAATAAAGAACTTCTAAATTATATATTATGAAACTAGTCCTCTTCAGACTTCAAGTCCACAATTCTTGTGGCAAATGGTACATAAAATAACTATTTTTTATCATCACCATGAAGGTTTTTGGCCTTTATTCTATCCTCATAGTGATTGCTCGATTCTTACAATAAATGTTCAGATATCTTAGTTACAATAACTTTCCTTATATATATAAAATGATATGGTAGTAGCTGATATAATTCTGTGTTAAGATTTAAAATGAAAGACGGGCTATACAAGTTGGCTGCACAACACTTCCCAGCCACTTCCTCTATAGCAGGAACATCTAAAACCCTTGAGACTAATAACAGGAACTGCACTGCACCAATCATTACATGGGAAACTTCTGAATAGGATAAGTACTTAGCTTTTTTTTTCCTAACTACCTGACAGTACAAGCTACACAGAAATATCTTGCATGACTTCAGATAGGGTCCACATCACATGATTCACTAATATAAAGAGGGTATATACTAGTTACACAGTTCTGTTGTTTGAAAATCACTGAATTTCATAAGACTCATATCTCCCTGCATTAGTGTATTCACAATAATGTGTACAAAGTCCCTAGAAGCGACTTTTCAAGAAAAGAACAAACTTGGAGAGGATAATCATTACTCTATCAATAATAATTTTCATTGCAAGAATTTCAGAATGCAGGTTAGAGTCAAATTCAGAGTAAGATAAATACCACTGGAACAATTATAAATCAGAATTTTTTTTAAGATCAAAAGATTTTAAATTCTAACTAGAAGGGAGGGAAATACTGGGTTATATATGGCTATATTGTTGAAGGATCCTTATGGCGAAGGTTCCTCTGGAGCAGCTGCTGTTCCTTCCTCTGAGTCCGATGGTGGTGACTGAGAGGTCCCTGCACTGCGCTTTGGAGAACGAACTGTGTAGGGGACCTCTCGCCTTACTACCTCCTTTTCAAAGACATTGCGTGCAGAATTATACTTGGCCTCATAATCAACTTGAGGGTCAGGTCTTTGCTTCTGATCCTCTTGTTGACCGTGACGGACCTTTGCACGAGGACTGGCAGGAAGGACGGTAGCGAGATGGGCCCGATAGGAGTGAGGTTCAGACTGTGTTAATGGCTGGCTACTCGTTGCACCCGAAGTGGTGGACTCTGATGGGGGCGAATCAAGTGCTGAGCTGAGAGCTTCCTCCCGTGAAGTGAGAGTCGCCTCCCCTAAAGGAATGTTATAAGGGCCTCGACTATGGTACCCAGATGAGGTGTCGGTTGAGGGTGTGGACTGCCGTGTATCGAGATTGTTTTCATCTAATACAGCAGAGTGTGCACTGCGATGGTCTGTATAGCAACCCGAATCTCTTCCATGGTCACCACGGCGGAGTGCTGCATCAGTAGTTTCTAACATCTCTGGCAGATCAGGTTCCGGCTCTGAGTCCGCATCATGAAGCAGTGCCACAGCAGTGAGCAGTTTGGCACAAGTCTCAGGGTCAGTAATGCCAAGGCAATCAAGATCTGCTTTTTCCACATCTCTAAACTGTTCCAAATCTTCATAACCATTTAGAACAAATACCTGTAAAAGGAACCACATTAAAATTATGCAGAAAACAATCGGAAAATTTCAATTGATTAAAGATAAAGTCAAAGTTTTGGATATAACTCTATAGATTATCAGTCATCAAATATCCTGAAGTCCTCTATAAATTAAAGTATTAAAAATTAACTTGAAATAAGAGATTCTTTAAGTCATGTTAAACCCTATACTGTATAGAGATACATGATCATTTTCTTTCAAAATTGAAGTATTCACGACAAAACTAATTTCATTCCCATATAATCATTACAATTAGATAGTAAACATATCAATTGCCAGTACAAAAGTTAAATAATTTGACAGAAATCACTTAGTAATGAAAATATCCCTAGTGTATACCTAATATTACAACAGTATTTTTTTTATCTTAGCTGTTCCAATACCTGTATAAGATGCCCCAGATTGAGCCGTGTCAGCAGCTCCTCTAACGTTCTGGCCCGGCCTCTGCGTGGAGTGGTGCCCCGCCACGGCCGGTGGCGGCGGGCAGGGCGCTCCACCTCCTCCTCTACCAGGATGAACTTGAAGTGCCCAACCCTGCCATCCACACAGCCCTTCCAGAGGCCTGAGGGGTTTTTGGCTATGATGTCTATTATGTCATCTTTCTGCAAGGGAATTAAGGCAGGTAAATAAGATGTGCACAGGAGGTAAGGTGAAATGTAAGTCTTCTCCATTTAATTTCTATTCTTACTCTTATTCTCTGACTCCACCTCAAACACAAACTCCTTTTCTATTTCAATGTACAAATGTTTATTCTCACGAAAAAAAATGTCTTTAAATCATTTCTTTTTTGTACCTCTTTGTTTCTGCATATATCTCTGTTTCTCCACTTTTTCTCCCTCTTTTTCCTTACCTCCCCCTGTCTCTTTTCCCATTCCCTATCTCATGGCCCTGTCTCATGATTTCACTTGATAATTCTTTAATGGAAGTACACATGCACACACACTTTTAAGACTTACTTACACTAATGCTATCCCTCACTCACACTCTCACTTTCATGCTCACATTACACCATTACACTTGGACTCCTCATAATCATACTTTCATCCTGCCTCCACTCTCTTTCCTCACTCCTCACTCCTCCCTCCTCTCTCCTCAGTCCTCCCTCCTCTCTCCTCACTCCTCAGTCCTTCCTCCTCTCTCCTCACTCCCTCCTCTCTCTTCTCTCTCCTTCCTCACTCCTCAGTCCTCCGTCCTCCCTCCTTTCTCCTCACTCTTCTCTCCTTTTTCCTCACTCCCCACTCCTCCGTCCTTTGTCCTCTCCTATCTTCTCCCTCCTCTCTCCTCTCTCTCCCTCCCTCCCTCCTCAGTCCTCAGTCCTCCCTTCTTACTCTCTTCACCCTCCCTCCTTTCTTCTCCCTCCCTCCTCTCTTCTCCCTCCCTCCTCCTTCCCTCCTCTCTCCTCCCTCCCTCCTCTCTCCTCTTTCCTCCCTCCCTCCTCTCTCCGCTTTCCTCCCTCCCTCCTCTCTCTGCTTTCCTCCCTCCCTCCTCTCTCTGCTTTCCTCCCTCCCTCCTCTCTCTGCTTTCCTCCCTCCCTCCTCTCTCTGCTTTCCTCCCTCCCTCCTCTCTCTGCTTTCCTCCCTCCCTCCTCTCTCTGCTTTCCTCCCTCCCTCCTCTCTCTGCTTTCCTCCCTCCCTCCTCTCTCTGCTTTCCTCCCTCCCTCCTCTCTCCGCTTTCCTCCCTCCCTCCTCTCTCCTCCCTCCCTCCTCTCTACTTACTCCCTCCTCTCTCCTCCCTTCTTCCTCTCTTCTTCCTCCTTACTACTCCCTTCTTTCTCTTCCTTCCTCCCTTCTCCTCTGTTCTCCTTCTTCCCTCCTCCCCCTTCCCTTTTCCCCCTTCCTTCCTCTCTTTCTCTCCCACCTTCACTCCTCCCCCTTCTCTCCTCTCTCCCCTCTCTCCCTCCTCCTCCCCTCCCTCCCCCACTCTCTCACCTTAAACTTGAGCGCGTCCCTGTCGTAGGGCGAGGGCTGGCAGTCGACCAGGGCGCGCGCTCGTCCTATGAAGGGGCCGGTGTAAGGCTCCGCTTCCTCCCCGGAGAGAGATGAGCGGTTGCTGCCTGATGCTGTTGCGGCTGCTGGAGAGGCAAAGGTCATTTGATAAACCTTTCCTAGAATTTAGAATTGGGTAGGCTTATAGACAGTGACAGAGAGGTGGTTTTCGTGTAATGATCTAGCTTATGGTTTCTGCAAATTTGGAATATCGTCAATATCATCGTATCATTAAAAAAATAGTAATGGCAGATTTTACAGTATATTATAGACATGTATCTGTAAAACGATTATGCAATTCATGAAACCTTAAATCCACAATATTCTAGCAACACACATCTCTCTTGTCTAAATTAACTCGACACAAATTTCTGTTGTCCAAAAATTCCATCTGAAAAAACATATTAGAACAACTGTAAGACTTTCACCCGCTTTGTTAATCAAAAGTCTCAGCTCGGGACTGAAAGCGTAACGCACGCAAGACTCACCCAGGGGCGCTGACGAAGGTATGCTCTCGTACGAGGACGCCGAGGGCTGCATGGGCGCGGATAGCGTCGCCCCCGCCTTGTCGGCCGAGACGCCCGCAGGCCCGGGGGAGCTGGAGGTGCTGCCGCGGGGGCTCTTGAGGCGGGAGATCTTCTTCTGCATGTCTCGCCTCAGCCCGCGCATCCGCCCCACCAGCGAGGCCGAGCCCGACCGCTGCGGAAAAGCTCTCGTGTTAACTCCTTCGCTCTCGACCAAAGGCAATCATTCAGGCATTAACGCATCAATACAATTGGCTGGACTCTTTTTGTCTCGATAATTAGAAATCAGCAATTAAGAGTTTCTAAAAATAGCACCGTTGTACCTGCTTCCCAAACATAAAAACACATCGACGGCAAATGCAGAAACAAGTAAAAGAGTAACATAGTGCACAATCTATTAATATTAGGGTGTCTCCAGCTCGCTCGAAGCAACGGACACGGGCATCATGTTGAAGCCCTAACTTCTCACACACATGACATACGGACGTGTGTAAGTGTGCGTGCGAGTGGTTATTTTATCTATACATTTATCTATTTAGTTAGTTATCTATTCACTTATCTATCAATTTTGTTTTTTTTATCTAATTATTTGTTATTTATTTATTTATATGTTCATTTATTTACTTATTTATATTTATTTACATATTTATCTATTTATCTGCGAAACAGTAAGATATGTTACAAAACACTTGCCAACAAAATTGAACTATTTGTATGTAAATTGAACAAGGAATGTGCCAGGCGTATTACCTTGGCATAAAGAGTTAACACATAAGTGGATGGCAACTATTTACGAGAGTCCGAAAGAAGAAAAACAAGATCGTCTCTTAGAAGACAGTGGCAGCCGACCTGAAAAGTTTGCTCCCTGTTTATGGTTAACAACAACACTACTGTCGCCGCGACCCTGAGGACCGGGCCACAAGGGCGACCGAGAAGAGCAAGCGCTTACCTCAACCTCATCCTGATCCTCGTAGTCGGAGGAGTGAGATGGGGAGTGGCCGTCCTCGCTGCCTCCGCTCATGCTGCTCCGACTCTGCAAGGAAAAAAGAGAGAGGTGCTTATTGTATTCAGCCCCACGCTTGCAGTTACGAGACAGCAGGTCCAGACACATGTGGTGCGTGTCACACACACACACACACACACACACACACACACACACACACACACACACACACACACACACACACACACACACACAGAGAGAGAGAGAGAGAGAGAGAGAGAGAGAGAGAGAGAGAGAGAGAGAGAGAGAGAGAGAGAGAGAGAGAGAGAGAGGGCGAGCTTAGAATAGTGAGAGAAAAAGAAGGAAAAATAAAGAGGGAGATACAGGATGAGAAGAAGGGCTACAAGAAGAGTGGAAGCAGAAACAAAGGGGAGGGAGAGAGAAGAGCCAAAAATATTTCTCCCAGCAAAAAATAAATAAATAAACCAATAAACAAATAAATAAATAGGGTGGCAACAATGATAATAGCTCTTCACAATTCACACACAGCTTTCACTTGCGTCCAAACCAGATCGAGTGTAGGGAAGGAGTGAGCGCGGTCAGAGTAGTGAGATTTTCGAAGGGAAAGTTGTGACAGACAGGCAAGCAGCCGCCGTTAATATCGGCATCCAAGGAGAGTGGCCACAACCCGTTTGGGCGCCTGTCTGATGCTGACCTGGTCACGTGACTGGTTTCTGTGATGTGCGGACGCGACTAATGTCAACTTTAGTAGGTTTGTTGTAATGTTTGTAGGGAAAATGTTAGTGTACATTAGGGAGTTGGCTATGCACAATGCTCTGGTAGCGGTGGGAGGGTGTGGTATTCCCCTGGGCTGGACGATACAATTGCAATTTCAAGGCCATCCAATGTCAGTCTTCCACTTTGCAACGAGTCGACAAATGATGCCCCTGAGTGCAAGAAATATTTCAGGATATTATGCCGACAAACGGGAGGAGAAAAGACTCACAGAACACTGCGACCTGGAGGGCGAGAGCGAACGCGGGACGGAGTGGCGGAGACGCCCCCACAGCTTCTTTAGCACGTTCGGCTTCTTCTGAGGGAGGTCGAGCCCCAGGAGCGCGTGGTGGGGGGAGGGGGTGCTGCATAGGGAGCGCCAGTCCCCCTCCCCCTCGCCCTCGGAGGCGGGCGTGGCCAAGCCCTCGGCGGCCTTGGTCACCTGGATGACGGGACAGTCCGCGCCTCCTCGCCCAGGCCCGCCGCCCGCGCGCTTCAGGCCCATCACGGCCTGGTACTTCTGGTTCCAGGTGACGGCCTTGTTCCTCCCAAGGCTGTTCCTCGGAGAGAAGGAGCCCTGTCGCTTCACGCCCACGGCCGCGGGGACGCTTCGCCGCCGCACACTCCGCTGTCTCTGCAGGCTGTCTCGGAGCTGCCTTCTCAGATCCAGGTATATGATGTCGTTCTCTTTCTCACTGCCATAGAGGTCACTATTCTCGGACGGCTTCACACTTTTCACAAGCAAATGAGAGATTTTCCGTAGGTGCACAGGGATGTTTCTGGCTCTGTCAAATAACGTTCTCTTCTTTTTGTTTCCGTATTCGGGTTTGACGTTCGCCCAAGACTCCCTGAGGAGTTTAGGCAGCACGATGTCGGAGTTGCGCCACCGCTGCTTGACGGCGCGGCTGGCAGTCTGGAAGTAGTTTAGGTTCCTCGTGTTCCTCAACGCAACCTCCGGCGGGGGGCCGGGGGGAGGGGCAGGCTCCTCCGCGATACCATCCCGGTTCGGCTGCGGGATAGAAGCTAAAATCAGCCCCGGCGCAGCGTGCGTCCCCGTCAGGAGAACATCTGGCGCGAGCGGCGGCCTGCGCTCCGGGACTTCGGCGGGCGCTTCACCCCCGCCCTCTTCCTCCTCGCACTCCGCCCAGGTCTCGTCCTCATCCTTCGCGGGGGACGCCCTGTGTTGTGGCGAGGTGCTATTCCTCCTGGAGGCGGCTTTCCGAATGGTGAGTCTCGGCCTAATCTTCCGGCGGCACGAGATCTTCCGCGTCGGACGCCGACGCACGGAAGCCACGCGAGCAGGTTGCCGGGTTTCCCAGACCCACGACACCTGCAGAAGGTCCGGCGGAGGTTTGTTAGCCGGGGGTTCCGTCTGCGAGCGAACCCCGCGGGGATCCACTGGCGTCGGAACGCACCGACCCCTGCGCGAGGGGCGATTCAGCGTGGCGCTCCACTGCTGGCCAGGGGTCGGCCCCTGCCCCTGCCTCATCAGCCTCCCACGAGGGGTCAAGAGTCTGTTGGGAATCTCTGGCTCCTCCGGGCGCTCTAGAGAGTCATCACGGGCACCGGAGTCAACGTGACTGCGACTTGCGTGGACACAATCACAAGCGGAGGTGCGCTCTCTAGATGGGTGGTGGCGCGTCTCACACGCATCACAGATGGTTAGCTTATCATACATGCCGTTGGGGGTGTCTGACTCCACACTCGCCCGCGCCGACTCGAGCCTGCGTCCCCCTGCTGAGCCCTGGGGCGCCCCTCCTTCCTCTGTTTCTTCAGCTCGAGTGACACCACCCTCCACTTCGTCGTATACGTCTACCTCGGCGTCGGATGCCTCGCCCACCTCGGCCTCGGGTGACTGCTCAGCAGGAGTTGGCGGGCCTCGCGGCCTCGCTCCTGCCTCGCAAGGCATTTCCTCCTCAGCTGACGCCCTCGTGCCATCGTCCTGGGTCTCGTGGGGCGTTGCATCCTCCCTGTCAACTGGCTTCATGTTCTCGGGGAGGAGAACTTGCTGGGAATGTTCGTGCAGGGGCGGCGACGGGCCACGGGCGCTACTTACTAGAGAATGGTAAACGCACAAGATGGACAACATGAGACACTGACAGTTCGCCTTAAGTGTCTTTCATCACTGGTGCAAAATATAAATCAGTAGTCTACAAGTAGAAAAACATCACAGTTCATGACGAGGTTACAACACAGGTTGTACCTGTTCCAGGTGTGCTACTATCCCGCTAGTCACTAGTCACGTGATGCAGTGACACGCCCACTGCGAGTGCTCCCGTCGACGCAAAAACCCGTATGCCGTTTCTACGGTTAATGCGTGCTAGTAAACGTCCTGCAAAAGCATTTACGCCCACAGGCACATGCACGTGAACTCACTACTATGACACAGATCGTGCCTTGTCCAGACATGCAGAGTCAGGAGACACACGGCACGTGAGTGCCAACGCATTCGCCTCCACTTGGCACAAACTACAAATAGCCAATACAAATGACAATCTCTATTTTAAGCGTCGCGACAGCTTGCGATGGTTACACGTCCGCCTAGTTCAGCTGATATGTGACAGGTGATGCATGGCGACTGTCCACTACTACAGGTGGTCACTTATCGCCGTCCGCCGCTGCTGCGCCCATTCCGCCCACGATTTGCATCACAGTCAGACTCAGCTCGACTCACTAATTATCTAGCACAAAATGAGCAGTCCGAGGGACGCAGCGAAATCCTTTGAACTGGTGAACAATGCGACCGCAAGCGCCGCACGCCCAGCGTCGCGGCGCTTCTCCAGGCGAGAAAACGATCACAGCGCAGCACTAGAGCAGCGACGGCGCGGCACGCGAGGGACAAAGATCTGCACAATGGGATGATGGCTGCACCAACACGGACATCGCGGCGGCAGCATCAGCGTGTTATTAGAAGAAGTGCCAGCGTGCCACTGCCTCGCCTGGCACGAGCTCGCTCCCCACACACTTGCTCCTGGCACACTCCCACCTGGGCCCCCTCTTCTCCCCCTTCCTCCTCCTCCTCCTCCTCCTCCGCTCTAACACCTGTTTCCCCTCGCTCCCCTTGGCCTCAAGTCTCGAGGGTGACGCAGGTATGACCACACTGCCCCGCGCCGCCTTCATAAAGGCTGGTATGCGGGCAAGTATGCAGAGGTCGACCTCGCCATCGTTGCCCTGTCTCGCGGCAACGCATAGCTGTGCCGCCCACTCAGAACTCCCGGCGCTAGGGATTTTTTCCCTTCCTCCTCCTGATCCTCGCCGTCCCTCCTCCTGCTCGCCGATGCGGGCATTCCCTTCCTCCAGCCTTCCCCTTTCAGGCCGTGGCGCCGTGCCCCAAGGGAACACAGAGGAAAATGCAGCGAGGCGCGGCGAGGCGCACTGCATTCGAGTGCCAAGGGCCCAAGCGCCGTCTCTTCGGCTTGAGCTCCCCCCGCGCTGCGCCCCTCGACACTTCAGCGTCCAGAGGAAGTCTTCTTTTCACTCTGCTAATGATGCACCGCCTCCCTGCCACTTCCTGGTCGGCTGCCTCTCCACGATTGTGTTCCAAATCTGCATTTAAAAGTCTTCAGTTCCGAAGTGAAATCCGCTGCAGGCAGAAGGATGGAGCCTGGCACTCGCAGCCACGCCCCTTTTATGATCACCGCATTCAGCCACGACAACGATCATGAGCATTGACATGTGATGGCCAAGTTCGCGATCATGGTGTGTGTGTGTGTGTGTGTGTGTGTGTGTGTGTGTGTGTGTGTGTGTGTGTGTGTGTGTGTGTGTGTGTGTGTGTGTGTGTGTGTGTGTGTGCGTGTGCGTGTGTGTAAGAGAGAGTGAGAGTGAGAGTAAGAGAGAGAGAGAGAGAGAGAGAGAGAGAGAGAGAGAGAGAGAGAGAGAGAGAGAGAGAGAGAGAGAGAGGGAGAGAGGGAGAGAGAGAGAGAGAGAGAGCGAGAGAGAGAGTACATTGCATACATTCTACTTGTCACGCATCAACTTGAAGAAAGGTGTCCTTTACTCTCAGCTCTCTCTATAAAGTATCCTACATCGGCCACGCTATCACTAACTCAGGGTCAAAGAGTATTGCCAAAGAAACACTGTTCGTATGATAATAAAGTCCGCTCTCCGATCAGCTAAAAATAACTTCCATTACCGAACACTTGTTATAGCGCTACATCCGGGTCATAGCCCGCGGCCTCTACCTAGACCCGCGGACGACGTACCACGTGCAGTTACACATCCCTTCGGGTAGACGGAGAATAGCACGACCCACTGTAGTGCTGATAAGTAACCAGATATTCTATGGATTTCAGAGGCATAACGAACCACTGCAATCG